GCCATGGCTAACTGGTCAAAAGTCATGATCTGGCCTCCAGCTTTCAGGATGCGTCGGCGGGCTCCCTGTGTGACTCTGAGGGCACAAATCTGGGGAAGAGGGGAAAACCCATTTTGCAACATGAGGATCCTCAAAGCCAAAAATAAAAAAAACCAAGCACGGGCAGTCCTTATTAGCTATGGGAGTCATTTTTATTTTTGTCCCATCTTTATTATAGTACTTTAATAATAACTCAAGGCATGAATATATCTAATACTCCTCCATCCTCCTCTTTTCCCTACAACGCTCGTGAGGTGGATTGGACTGAGAGTGAATGACTAGTTCAAAGTGACCTAGCTGGATTTCATGACTATGGTAGGGTTAGAACTCAGAGTCTTCTGGTTCCTAGCCTAAGTGTCTTAACTGCTACACCAAACTAGCTTATCCACATTTGGAAAATATAAATGAGACAATGTCGCCTATCCATAATTTTAGATTATTTTGCACATAGATAAAATAGCAGACAAGCTTGTGCACAAGTAACAACATTCTTGACTGTTTCCATTGTAGTAACAGATAGGAATTTAACCCACACAAATGATAAAACATTTATACTTACCATTTCATCTACATCTTAATTGTTGTAGCTAGAAATCAAATACCTTTAATCAATTGACTACAATGAGACAACTCCATGATTAGTCAGGAAGCTAACGTTCAGAATATTTAAAATATTTTAAAGAAAAACACTCATAAAAATTGCATTTCTGCTTTGGCTAGAACCAGCAGCAAAGCAATTTATCTATAAAACAAGCATTCGCATTCTCATTCTCAAGCAAACAGCTTTGATAAATGATAATCAAACTCAATTCAGGGGTTCTTATGATGGATAATTGATACTGTAAATATTGTTCAGCGTTTACTATATACTCCTATATATAGAATTTTCCTCTAGTTTATGAAATCTGATCTGTCAAGAAATCCATCTCCTCCCATCTGAAGAATTACTCCACCAGTCAGGATACCTTCAGTTTAGGAATTTCCTGGATACGAACATCATCCGTCACTGTGCCCACCACAACAGCAGTTTTGTTTTCCCGCCCTTCGAGCTTCATTTTACGGATCTAAAGAGTAAAAGTGTGATTATATTAGTATGCAGTCCTGACCAATTTGCCTTTATCAACACAGGTTTCACTGGTCCCTTAGCAGCATTTTAGCTACAATCTACCTTAGGAAGGAGGGGAATATCCCTGTGCTCTGAGCTTCCTTGCTTTCCTGCAGACATTTTCTAGCTGGATAGCGAAACATCTGCAGGAAAACTGAGCTCAGACACCAGCAAGGATTCGAGTTACTAATATTCTCTTCTACTGGAATATTACTAATGTTCTCCCCTTGAGCTCATCATTGATACTAACTTTCTTTCTTCCTTCCTTTCTCTCTCTCTCTCTTTTTCCATTTGGTCAAAGCCACAAAAGTGGCACCATCTCTTCCTTTAATAAGAAAAGAACAATGGCAACAACAAGACAAATAGAGAGAAAAGGCTAAAACTGAGGAGTAACTGAGGGACAAGAAGGAAGAGGAAGAACAATAGAGAATTGAAGATTCTGCACTTACCAAGCGAGACACGGACAATGGAGGCCGGTTGGTGCGGCTCATGAATAGCCGTTTGAGGATCACCTTGTTGAATTTGGCATTGGTGCGGCGAGCCAGGAATCTGTAGAGCTGAGAAGGTGGAAATTTCCAAATATACTGCAATCAAATATACTTTCTCCCTGCCCCAAGCTACCTGGAAATTAGCCTCAAATCCAGAGCATTTTATAGCCCACCTCATTCAATATAAGACTTTTGCAAATAGAAGCCCAGCCTTTACTCCAAACATCAACACAAAGAACAGCCCACTATCTCCTAATATTGCTTGGATCATTATGGAAGAGGTCACTACCCAGGCTACTTAATGGAACCAGAGGCAAAATGCTGGATTGAGAGGGGACAAAATCGAAATACTTAATTGCATAAGCATACCCTGGGTTATCCTGTATATACCAACATAGATTCAAGCAATGAATGGTCTAAAATTAAATCTAAACACTGCTAATGGATTTCCACAGAGAATCATATCGTGCAAACATGATTAATAATACCTACAACCTTTATATATACAACACACTGCTGTCAAGTGTAACTCACCCCCCCCACAATACTTTATGTCTTTACATTTCTTCGTATAAATGCAAAACTTGGCTCTCACCTTGACTAAGAGACGAAGATAAATATCCTGACTCTTGGGCTCCTTACGCCGAACCTTACGGTCCTTGTTGTGGCGAATATCAATTCCCTGGTAACAAACGAGAAATATTCAGGTTAGTGGAAATATCTCATATATGCCCTTTCCCTGACAAAATAAAAAAAATATCTTGTTTCTTTATACAAGTAGTCCTCGACTTTCAACTGTTCATTTAGTGACCATTCAGAATTACAAGACTTATGACCATTTTTCACACTCACGGCCTTTGTATCCCCAGGATCATGTGATCAAAATTCTGACGCCTGGTAACTGGTTCATATTTATGACCATTGCTGTGTCCCAAAAGCAAAGTCAACGGGGAAGCCAGATTTACTTAACAACTGGCTTATCAACTGCAGTGATTCATTGTGGCAAGAAAAGTCATAAAATGGGGGAGCGGGGGGAACCTCACTTAACAAATATCTCATTTAAAAACAGAAATTTGGGGCTCAATTATGGCCATAAGTCAAGGACTATCTGGATTTTGGTATTATATTTAATATATAAATTTCTGGTGTCAAATAAGAATTTAGCTTGGACAAAATCAAAATGTTCTAATTAAACTCTAATCAAGATCTGCAAAAAATCAGGGACTGCTGCCAAAGCAGGTATCTCAAAACTTCTGATACGTTTGTATCAAAAAAAGGGGGGGCGTGCATAAGCGGACCAAGGTGCCTACCATCCCTGTCCTATTGTTTCTTTTTATTTTTCTTATATGTATCCATTTCATGTATTCATAACTATGTTTATACTTATAGCTGTTATCTTAAAATCGCTTGACAAATAAAAAAAAAATCTGCTCTCCCGTATAATAACATCTAGTCTATAAGGAACACGTTTGTTCACATGGTAAGGAGGCTGGGTTGACAAATTTGACAGGATAAGCTGCCATTATTCACTCTAGCCCCTGCCAACTTAGCAGTTTGAAAGCATGAAAATATTCGTGGTCTCATTAACGGGGACATGAAATAAGTCCCAAAACTGGGCATCCCTCAGGCAATGGAGACATCACTGGCTGATCCTGATCCAATGCACAGAAGCTCTTTGGTGCTTCCGACATGGAAGGTTAGTATAATATCTAGTCTATGAAAAAAAAATCTCAAGACTGAGAGCATTAATTTGCTTCCCTATACAGGTAGGCCTCAACTTACGACCATAACTGAGCCATTTCTGTTGCAAAGTGAAATAGTTGTTAGTTTTGCCCCATTTTATTACCTTTCTTGACACTGCTGTTAAGTGAATCATTGCTGTTAAGTTAGTAACACAAACAACAATAACAAGTAATAAAAGCCGAGGCCCTTTATTCTACTATCACTGTTTTATAATAGTCACACGGCACCAAAATTACACTTTTCCTGCTTTAGAGGATATTTGAAGCAAACTTTTGTGACACTAGACTCCCCGTTTTTGTATCTAACGTTATTTTATCATAACCAAAATTAGGTGAAACTTAAGAATTCAACCCGGGCTTGTCGCGCGCACGGGCCTCTTTCTCTGCCTGATCTTTAAAGGAGAGCCCGCAACCTGGGCGCTTTCTTAGGCCCGAACGCCATCCCCTAACAACAACCGCTTTCTGCGGGCAGGCCTCCCTAGTATTGGGGTTCAATCCTAGGTCTCCAGGATTTGTATGCTTCCCTCTTTACCAGCACGACACAACCTGCTCTCCAGGCTGCTCCCCCGGAGAAGATTACAACCGATTCAATATCCCCGCGCCCTTCCCTCTCAAGCCTTACCATGATGGCGTCGGCACCGTCAGAAAAAAAGAGACCGGAAAAGGCCGCCGGCGCGCAAGGAACGATGGGAACGAAAGGATTGCGCTCGGGAAACGGAAACTCGGGTAATTCCACCTCTCTATGGTGATATTAAGACCGCCCATGTAACGTAAGGCAGATTAGAGCCACGTTCCTTTGTCAATAAAGCAAGCTTCCGGGTTATCTATTTGATTAATTACATCTCGTTAGAGCAGAGGTCTCCAAACTTGGCAACTTTAAGACTTGTGGACTTTAACTCCCAGAATTCTGGGACTTTAAATGTTTTAATGTTTAAATGTTTTAGGGCTGTGAAGAACGAAATTGCCCTGATCCAAAATGGCCACCACCGCATCCCTCTTCTCGAGACATTCTGCGTTCTTTTCATTTATTAAAGATGGCAGTCCTGGAGGAAGCTGGAAATTTCTTTCTCCCTTGACGTTGCCCGAAGCTCAAATTCTCCGTGTCCCCTCAGCAAAACTTATCGTCGCTGAAAGAAACAACCTTTTTAAAGAACTTTTAAGAACTCAACATTTTTTTGTAACTTAAGCACCTTCGTGAGTGCTCATCCCTTAATTAAGATGGCCACTTTGCTGTTTTATATCCGCGCTGTCGTCAAAGATGGCAAAACCACCCACCAATGTCTGAGGAGGGGGGCGTTGAGGGCGGGACTGCTACGGTTTGCTGACCTCTGATAGGGCAGGAGGAACCTTTCCTCACCCCCATTGCTCATCCTTCCCCAGGTAGAAAAGAACACTTCCCGGCGTAGCATGCGAAGCAATGTACAGCTCAGCGCAGAGGCGAGAACTGGGCTTGGGAAGCGGGAAGAAGAGCAAAGGGGGATGGCGTGAAAAGAAGTGTGGGAGAGGTCCTGAAGACTGGACGTTGTCAGGGGTAGGGAGACCTTGAGAAGAGCCCGGGAGCTTCTCCTCCCCACGGATTCCTTCGTAAGGTCATCTGGCTTTTTGGAGAAAGCGTGCCCGGTGAGAGGGGAATAGTCCTTTCTGGGGGATATATCTCAAACGTCCTTCCCCCTCGCAGCATAAATGTATATTTGTGTGTGTGTGTTATAACAATGGCCACCTCTGGTGCTCTCCTCAAGGTTTTTTTTTTTTTTGCTAAATAGCTTTGTAAAACGATTTCCCTGGTCTCCCCTTTTATGACACTCTTGCAAACATTTGTGAGAAGCTGGGTTTTTTTCTAAACCTAGGGATTGGAAACAGCTGGGCTAAACCGGCAAACGGGGTGCCTTAATAAAAGTACTTTATTTCCGCTTGCCGCTAGTTGATGTCCCTGCATTCTCTTTCCAAACCCAACATTTATTCTTTTGTATTCCTTCTTTTTCATTCCTGAGTGTCTCCTAAATAGATCAATATTTTGTTTAACTTTTCTTATTCTTTAATTGTTCTTTCCTTCTCCCTTGTCTGAATTTTGGGGAAGCAGACTTCTAAAAAAAAATCTTAAAGGAAAGAGAAAGAGTTTACTAAAAATGGTTTGTTTTTGTGATCAGCTGGTTTCATCAGATTCTTACAAGTTGGGCAACTTCCTAGTTAATATTTAAATATCTTATCTAAAGGTAAAATCATGCCAAAACAAGATTTTCTACATATGTTTTTGACGAAGCACCTGTTTTGCTAAGAAAAGCCTCTTTTCAAACTTACTAACTCTAGCGTTATACCAAACCTGTAATGAGTCAGACAGGTCTGTGTTCATTCCTCTAGAATTTGGATGACATTTTTCACAAAAGTTGAGTTACGTACATACCTGTATTTTTCCTCTTGTTTCATTTCCTTGACACAAAGATTTCTTGCTCAATAAAAGCAATTAACTCTGGAAAATGCTTAAGCGCTAGTGAGGAAGGAAGTTTCTTGATGAAAGAAAGTTGCATTGGCTGCCCAGCTGACCTAAAGAAAATCTGCACTAATGGGAAGTTTTTAAATCCTGCTTCTCAAATCTAGGGTGCTGGGAGGAGTGGTGAAAAAGGAGGTTAAGTAGTGGCTGGAACCAGCTGTTTGACATATATAAAGCACAACAGTAAAGCTGGGGTTCCATGACAAGATGAACCTGGTACTGAAGACTTGTCGAGAAGGTTCCGAGGCCATCCTCCATGGAGAGTTTGGAGCCTACCCCCCTAAGGGGATCCGCTATGCCCTCAGCCTCACCCGGACTGAATTGCATATCCAGCGTCTAGTACCCAAGCCGGACACTGATCAACGGACTGTGATACGGCTGATAGATGTGGTGGGTTGCCACACACTGCGCAGCCACACGGTAGCAAACCAGTCAGCATTCTTCTGCATCTATGCCTACCCACTGAAGAAGAAAAAGGTAGCAGTGGGCTCAGGACGGGCCCGGCAACGGATTGCAAAAACTTTTCAAGTGGACGGAGCAGAGCGCTACAAGGACAACCAGGCTCTGGCTGAAAAATGGGCAGCTGCCATCAAGTGCCTAGTTCTGGAGATTCCAATTTCCAGTGAAACAGGTAAGGGGGTGCTTTGTATTGGGAAGTATTGCCTCTCACCTGGAGAGATGGCAGATACTATCTGTTCCTATGTGGTGGCGTTCCTTAAAACTGTTGTTGTGAATTGCAAGTCTTATGTATGTTTGTGTGTTTATCAGTCTTTTTTTTTTAATTAAAGCTTATTGGGCGAGAGTTCATAAACAGGTTCTTATCCTGATAGGATTTTCTAAATGATAAAGAATAAAAGTATGTTTTTTTTTTAAATGTAGGAGAGCCCTCAGGGTAGCTCAGGAGTGAGATGAGTGGCATATAAATTTAAATAATACAGTATTGTTGTGCAGGCCTGCCACACAATTTTATGAGATATCTGAAAAACTGAACATCATCTTGGAATATGCCTGCCAGCAGATGTGTCAATCTTTAGTTAAAGAAGTCAAAATTAATCAGTACAAGTTCTAATGACCTAGAGTATATAAATCTATTTCTGTTGTCTTAGAACATTTTGCTAACTCTTTCCTTCAGTTTCTTTCTAAATTATCTTTACATCATACTTGCCACAAGATTATTAATTATCAATATTTTCATAATATCATAATCTTACTTTCAAATTTCAGGGATTACAAAGTAGATTAATCTCCCAATCTACAAATCCCTGATGTTGGATTGCCCGCAGAAGATGCAAACTTGCATTCCAGGGTGTTACTAGCTTTTGAAATGTTTGGTAATTGAGATGGAAGCAAGTTGTGGCTTTTCTCATATTTGAATAAAATTATTGCTGTGTTGACCTGCCTTTATATAATGGAAGGCAACTCCCATCAGAAATCAGAGGTAGTGAAGCTGAACCTTCCTCAGATTGCATTGTATTAGACCTGTCTTCCCATTGAGCAGTTTTGACTGCTGAAATTGTCATGTTTCTCTGCAATTGCGTTTTTCCATTCTTATTATTGTCCATTCTTCCATTCTTCCATTCTTATTATTGTCTGCTAGAAGTAAGAGGATATATTTTATTTATTTACTTATTTATTTTGTCAAAAGCTTACAATACAATAGAAATAAGAATAAACATAAGTTTAAATATAAGGAATAGGAACTAATAATTGGGGACAATAAGACAGGGGCGGTAGGCATGATTGGGGGCTTATGCACAATATGTGCCCTCTGTTTTTCCTTTTATATAAACAGCCTAAAGACATGTTTTGCCAACTTAATGAATTTTCTGTTTAAAATGTAAACATAAATGTCCTGGGAAGTATACAGTCAAATGTTGCAATGCCCACACATTCCACACTCAAATGTGTTTAACTTGCAATTCATGTAAATGGAAAATGGAAGAAGATCTGTTTATGTTGAACAACTTGCTTACAAACTGCAGCTCTGAATTCAAATGTGTTGAATTCAGTTCTGTAATTTTCAATCAGCACAGCAACTTTAAAGAATACAGAATGTATTGTGTTCAATTAAGTAATATCAGAATGATGGTGATTCTTCACTGAGTATTCTTGTTTATCAGCACCACATAAAACAGCTTATTTAATGTGTAGCAGAGGGACAGGACAGTCAAATAGAAGAGAGAGAGTCCTTGATTTTTGACGGGTCAGTCAGCAAACATTTGAAGTTAAACATGATCTCCCAAAAGACACACACAGTCCAGTTCCAATGGCTGCTGTCCCTATGACCACATTTCGAACACTTGGCAACTAGTCCACATTTTTGGCCAATTGTGGTATCCTACAATCATGTGACTGGAATTTACTATGTTTTTAATAAAATCCAACATTTACTTCTGGTTTTCAGCAAAAACACCCCATAGCAAATGATGGATTTGTTTAACAATCATGTATCAAGGTTCCGAGTAATGCACCCAAATAAATCAGAACTCCAAGGCAGGCAAGCCTCTCAAAGAACATGTTTATTAGATGCATCATGTCTGCACGGCCAGTCAAAACTAACTCTGAAGTTTCTTGGGTTAATAGCATAATTAAAAGAGTAACTGTTCCCCTCTCCAAGTGTCCCAAATCACATCGTGCAATTAAAACAGTCCTCTCCCCTTCAACTGTCACATGCTGGGATGACCTTGGTTCCCATGGAAAGGCTTGTTTTATCTACAGAAAGTCTATCTACTTTACCCGACCCCCAGAGTACATGGCAACTCTGAAGCACCAAAAGATGGCTTCAACCGTGGAAGACCCCCAAAGGGGTCAGGTGTGTAGTCGGGCTCAGGACCCCAGAGAGTGGCTCCAGATGGAGTGGAAAGTTAGGATTGTAAAGTTGTGTTGGCCATATGATGGCTTTACAACCATGATGAGTGTAATTGGCAGACTTAATTGTGGTGTAAGTCTAGGACTATCCATAAATGGCACATAAAATTAAAAGTTATGAAAGCATGAGTGTTGGCTACAGCATGGATGTCTAACTCACTCCATCATGTTGCTGTCACGTGACATTTCATGATGTTTTTCCCCTTCGTGGGGTTGGGGTGGGCAAGGCTTTCACATGACATATCCGGCCCGCAGGCCGCCAGTTTGACATCCCTGGGCTACAGAATAGAAGTATTGATGAGGGCTAATACTAATAGTTGAATGATTACATGAGTTAGAGCTGTGCATCAGATATTATGAAAGTTCAAGGAAAAGATTTAAAAGCTTCTAACTCCAAGAGAAGATTGCATGCTTTAAATACCTTTTATCAAACGGAATAACCCCCCCACCAAAGGTGGCCTCAATGGCTCTCAGAGAGAGTGCTAACAACCAGATGGCTGCAGAGAAATATCCTTCCATCCCTTTTCCACCAGAACCTAACCTTCCACCACCACCACCATCCAGTCACAACTGATGAAGCTTTTTGGATGAGAAGCAAAACTATTTCTTTCTCAAGGAAAAAAACAGCTCAGTTGCCTTTTGAAAAAAAAGCACCTTTGAGATAGCTATGACCTGGATGACTGAGAATCTCCATAGACAATTGTTGCCCCCAAATGGCTGAGTTTCTAACCTCTAAACCAGGGGTGGACAACTGTGGCCTTTTATGACCTGTGGACTTCAACTCCCAGAATCCCTGAGGTAGCATGGCTGGCTCAGGAATTCTTGGAGTTGAAGTCCACAGATTGTAAAGGGGCCACAGTTGCCCATCTCTGTCTAATCAAAGCCTGTTCATGCCAAGTTCAAATGTTCTCCAAGACTTCACAGTTCACAACATGCGGTTTAGCCTAGCAGTGCCTGATTTAGCGCTAGCTGAAACTAGTGGGTGACCTTTTTTTAAAGGACGAAGAACATAAAAATACAGCAATCTCGCCTCCTTTCGCATCTCGCTTTACACATTCCACAAAGAAGTCAGGAATCAGCTGACTGCAAGAAGAATTCTCAAGAACCAAATCAAAATAATTGCTGCTCCATAAGATGCCATACTTTTTGTACAGAACTATATGCCCTCTTAGAATACAAGTGTTTGCTTTCAGAGTTTGGTACCAGGAGAAGGAGCAGGCTTTCTAAAGGATCGTGATGATAATGCATTAAACACAGACAGCTGTACCAGCAATTAAAAAACTGCAGAGGAAATGCTGAACACTGCATAGGAGGGCCAGTATTAAAAGGGAATTTGTCTGAAAGCACATCGTCCACCCCCATTCATTTTAGTTGAGAAGTGGTCAGAAATTTCTATATGACACATTACCCATTGCTGACGGGTGGCTAATGCATTTACTGCTAGAAGGTTTATATGATGCTTTTATGGCGTGGTCAGTGGTTTTGTGGAAGAAGCGTGGCCTGGCAGGGAAAAAAACACACTATGCAGATTTCCTCCTTACTGTGTGATATAGAATTTGTGCTTTGAGTACTTCCTTCAAATGATGCTAAACAACTTTTATTGTTTAACTTATGAATTTTATTCACTCCCCAGATTCTTAGACTTGTTTGGTTAGACAATGTTGTTCTGTTCTCCTCATCCAGAATATTTTGTGGACAGGCTAAAATCTAAAGGGTTGTATTACGCTAGGAATTCAACCTACAGGCTCTTTCGTAATATCATTTCTGTTGACAGTAAATCTGTCGCTTCTGCTTTTGTACCAATGGTATGTTTTTCAACTGAAGTTTTTAAAAAATGAAGAATTTCAGCTACTCAGTCAAGTTGGAAAAGGTGTAAGGAAGATAAGTGTGAGGAGAAAAAGCAGCCCTTTAACAGTCAGTTGGAATTTTTTCTGTACATGTAATCAAAACACAAATGAATCCTGAAGGCAGGTGTCCCTCTGAGCTAAAATCTGTACAGTATTGCATACAAAAGAAAGTATATTGGTAGACACATTTTATATGTCAAGAATATAGACTGAATTTCATGATGACACAACTTTGTTGAAACTTGCCAGTGTCTGGATGGAAAGCTACCTTGAAATACCTGTGCACCCTGAAAGAAAAAAAGGCCTACAAATCATTATTTACAAAGTTCCAAATAACTCAGCCTTATAATTATAGCATTATAGTGATGGAAAACCCTGTTATGCTAGCAATACTTAGAATATTGTATGTAACATTCTGCCACCAAAGCTCCAGTATATAGGAGAGAAGTCATTGGAGAACCATTTCTATCCTGATACTCTCCATTGTGTATATACACATACAAACACAGGCATGCACACACAGAGAGACTACTAATAGGTCTCCACATGGGCTCCCATCATCATGGTAAAGCCTAAGGGATGGTGTAGATCCTCAACATGGCACAACTGGTATACCGTATACTGGAAACTATCCCCCAAAAGACTAGAACAGTGATCTCCAAGCTTGGCAACTTTTAAGGCTTGTGGACTACAACTCCCAGAATTCCTTAGACAGCTGGCCAGCTGAGGAATTCTGGGAGTTGAAATCCACAAGTCTTAAAAGTTGCCAAGTTTGGAGACCCCCGGCTTAAAACACAGGACTGTTGCCTCTGATCTCCTTGGGTATAATGGGACTGACATTTCCATCGCTTAGCAATGCAGTTGTAAAGCACAACATTGTGTGACCGCATTGCTTAGCGACAGCAATTCTGGCATT